CACAACCAGCACTACGGCCAAGCCAGCACCCACCACACCAAAACTAACGACCACCACACCAGAACCCACAACAACCACCACTACAACCAGCACTACGGCCAAACCGGCACCCACCACACCAAAGCCAGCACCCACCACACCAAAACCAGCACCCACCACACCAAAACCAGCAACCACCACACCAGAACCCACCACCACCACAGCAAAACCCACCACAACCACCACTACAGCCAAGCCAGCACCCAGCACACCAAAACCAACAACCACCACACCAGAACCCACAACAACCACCACCACAACCACCACTATGGCCAAGCCAGCATCCACTACACCAGAACCCACAACCACTACAACCAAGTCAGCACCTACTATGCCAAAACCCACAACCCCCACTGCAGCCAAGCCAGCACCCGCCACACCAGAACCCACCACCACTGTGCCAGAACCCACAACAACCACTACAATCAAGCCAGCACCCACCACAACAACGCCTGCAATCACCACGCCAAAACCAACCACCACTACAACCAAGCCAACACCAACCACACCAAAACCAACCACCACTACAACACCAACCACGCCAAAACCAACCACCACTACAACCAAGCCAACACCAACCACGCCAAAACCAACCACCTCTACAACCAAGCCAACACCCACTATGCCAAAGCTCACAGCCACCACTACAGTAAAGCCAAAACCTGTTACAGCCAAGCCAACATCCACCACACCAACATTTACCACCACTACAGCCAAGCCAACATCCACTGCTGTAACATCAGCAAAGCCAGAATCCACCACCACAACAAAGACAGAACACACCAAAACTGAAAGTCCCGATTATATTGCAACAACTGGGTTAACACTTTCCTTTGAGCCCACTTTAGACTTGGATTATAGAGCATCTCCAGAAGCAGAGTTAGATACTGAAGAGCCTGTTGCCTCCTTAGCTACAGAAAATCCAGACTTATTAGAAAGTATGGGCACAGCCATCAGTCCCAAATCAGTCCCAGATACAAATAATGGTGTGAAAGAGGATGAGAGAGAGAAATCAGCCTTCTTTTCCAGTCCAACTCCATCCCCCAGCCAGATTATTCCAGAGATCAAGTTAGGTTTCAATAAAGCTGAGCTCATAACCTCCTCAAAGTCAGTGGTCTCCAGCCCTGAAGAACCCATCTTCATGCGTTTAACGTCATCTTCCAAAGAAAAGGGGCAGAGCCCTGCTTTCCAGACCTCCCTCTCAGGTAAGGTAATTGTGGAGTCTGACCTGGCATGGACATGCAGACGTTGAGTGATCCCCAAGCATGGAGCACACTTGGGAGGAGCCAGTATCACACTGGTCCTTTGGATCCTCGTCTTTGATGTGGCAACAACCCTTTTCCTCACTCTTTCCCCTAACGCTTAAAGGGTCTGTTTGGATGCCTGGTTTGTGAAGCATGGATTTGTTTACAGCCTGCTCCTCACTAACACCCACCGGCTGTGCCGTGTCTCCGTTGGATCTGTGTGCTGCTGCCTTGCACCTCGTGGTGTCGTCGCGCACATCCCTGACAGATCCCTGCATGAATGGGAGTTTCTCTTTTGCTCACGTCTTCCCCTCTAACTCTGTGCTGTTTTTTTCTTTTCTGCCAGCAGATGCCTCGAATGCTGAAGAGCTGGAGACAAACTCAGACCATGAAGGCAAGCAGCAGCCCACAGCTGGAGCTCCCAGCACCCACAGGGGCCTTTTGCTCCTCCTCCTGCCCTGTGTCATCCTGGTGGGCCTTCTGCTTTGAACAGACTTTCTCAGCTGTCCCTGCACCGGTCGCCAAGGCTTTCTTCAGCATGGTTGTCCCACCACCCTGGTAGGCTTGGGAGACACCACGGGCAGTTCAGGTTGACTCACTCTCTTCTTCCTCTGGCTCACCCGCTCCAGCCCTGCTGTGCCGAGGGCTACTGGCCATCACATGGGCACTCAGTGCCCTTCCTGAGACAGCCCAGGGGCAGAAGGGTGTCTGCCATCACACTAGTGAACTTGGGTACCAATACTTCTCCCTTCTTCCCAGCCAGCCTGGGCTTCTGCTCTGTTTCCAATAGCAGACGATAAGCTCTCGTTGCCCTGTGTGGCCGGCAGGTCCTGCTGCACCACGTCCTGGGGAAACCAGAATGCCCTGGAAACCCAAGTGGCAATGGGACATGGAGGTTGGCTTTGGTATTTGTTTGGAGGCAAGACACGATCATTGCGTCTGATGTCTGTGTATCAGGATGGATTTCTACCAGAAATGCTCTCTTTCTCTCCTCGTGTGTCTGTTTGTCTCAGTTTTGGAGAAGTGTCACCTCTTCCTTCCTTGTCCAAAAATGGCATTTTTGTCCACAGAAGAGGTTTGTGTTTCCTACTTCTGGGTAGAGCTATGGCCAGTGTCTAGACATACTCCTTCTCCTGCCATCCCTCTGCAGTCTTTACCTCCTTCCTCACTTCTGCTCCAACAGTTACTCCGTTGCCATGCCTTTATTGGACGCGTGTGCCTGCACGTGTGTGCCTGCACAGAAGAAAAACCTCCAGCACAGGAGAGGAGTTACTGCTCCTTTCTTCTGCACGGCTTCCCTCTTTGCAGAACTTAAGTGTACGACGTATTTGCAGTTAGATCCAGATCCTGGTGGATGTATATATGTGGGTCCAGGAGGAAAAATAATCAGGTCTGCTGGTGCAGTTTCAGCTTGAGAGAGCCAAGTGAATGACGTTAGAGGGTACCGGTGCTTCCAGGACTTGTTGCAGGATGGCTTTCATTCTCTGGAGCACTGTGTGTTGTATTCCTCCATGTTTCTGCTCTGTTCACCTGAAGATTCCCAGCAGGGGGTGTTAAATGTGGGGCAAGTTTTGCAGCCCAGCAGAAGGGACGAGGAGATCGAGTTCTTCTCTGGTTGCTGCATTCTTTGGTTTATTAAACAGATGAGGTGGAGATAAGTCCAATGTCTGAGTCCTCCTCCTGATGCTGTGTGCTGTGCATCTCCAGAGCATGCACTGAATAAATCCTGTTCTGAAAGTCTGCTGTGGGGCACATGGTTTCTTTTGGGGATCTCCAGAAGTCGGCTTGTATCTGAAAAACAATCCTGGTTGTGCATTTAAGTAGAATGGCTGCAAATCACCCTGGCTCCTTCCAAGTGCTGAATGTTGTTATTGTTTTTTGGCTTCTTGACAGCAATGGGTGCTGGGTTCTGCAGGATTGCAGCTTTTTTATCTTCTGGAACTCAATGATCTTTAAGGTCCCCTCCAACCTAAGCCATGATTCTGTGATTTATGTTTTTAGCCCAATTAAAAGCAGGAGGAGGAGGACGTTCAGCACGATAGGGAATAGAGAATCCCTATTCCCTGTTATTTGTAGGGAATATTCCATCAGCTGAGTGCTGAGCAAAAATGTGTCTCCAGCAGGAATTTGTGGGCAAGGAAAGCAAGATGAAGGGAGCTCAGAGCAAAAAGAAACCAAGATGAAATTAATGCTGGAGTGCTTCTGGTTCCCTGCTACGAGGCTGAGCAGCCTCCTCCCACCCCAGCACGTCCTCATCTGTGCGGCAATGGAAGAAGCTAAAAGCAGTGTCCTCCCCTGTCCCTTCCCCACTGAACATCACAGCACCAGCACTGCAAGGGGTGAACCCACAGCACAGGAATGATGCTGACGTTGGACCTTTGCTTGTTGCTTTGAGGCTGCTCTGTGCTTCCCCTCTCCCTGCGGTTCTGCTGCAGGAGCACAGCAGCACGGCTCCCTGATAGGAAGCAGCTGCCTGTGGGGTGTTTTTAGGTCACGGTCACTGCTAACCCTGCTGAATGGTGACCAGCAGATGGCAGTGGGACAGTCACTGCGGAGCAGTGAGCAGCACTGACCTCACTGTACAGCGCTCCGTTTAATCATAAGCATCAGGTGTAGTTAAGAATCAGATTTTAAAATAATTTCTCAGAAGGGTTGTTGCATGGCTGAGCTCCTGCAAGCTGCAAGGGGAAAAGCACCCAGCATGGAGCTGCTGACAAGTGACAGAAGTACAGCCAGAGCGGCTGTTGTTCACCTGTTGCAAGGGCCTGCAGTCCTACCAGGGCTAAAGCAGGGACAGAGCTGGGATGGCACTTCAGGGCTGCAACTGTTTGCCCACCCGGGTGAAGGAGAGCGTATCATTAATTCCCTACCAATGATTAAAAGAGCAGAAAAGTGTTTCTCCTCCCAGTGAAATGAGAGCACTTGGTCAACATCGGATTTGTTTTGCAGTGTTGGGTGCTTCCCCCTCTCCTACCTCAATAACCACCGTGGGGCTCAGAGCAGCAGTAACAGAGTTTGCATGAGCCCATGCAAAGCATTCCAGAGGTGTTTTTTTTTTTAAGTATTTCATTTTTTTTTTATGGTTGAGTTTTCTTTTCCCGAAAGTTTTGACACTTGCAGTCACAGAATGGTGCAAGCACTATTTATAGAGTTCCTTGCAGCAGCAAATTCAAAACTAGAAGGCAGATTTTCCTTCCTCTTCCCCCTGTGCCCTGGGACAGAGGGGCTGAGCGCTGCCAGGGTGGGGATTTGGAGTGGTTTGGTTTAGTCCCAAACCAGGAGGATTTAGGGATGGAGGGAAGGCAGCTGCGTGGCAAACGAGAGTATGGTTGGTAAGCAGGGAAGGGCATGGAACATCCAAGGGAAACTTGTGAAGCATTTCCAGCTCTGTTTCTGGGGACGGCCTGAAGGATGCTCAGCCACTGAAGTGAGTTGGTGGGAGATTCCTGGAAGGAAAGGAGCCTGGCGAAGCTGCTGCAAGAATCTGGGGACCCTTGAGAGAGGAGGAGGTTTCCATGTGGCCACTCCTTCCCCGGCATGGAGGATCCCTGCTGGATGGGGCCTTGCTGCCTCTGTGGAGTTCTGTCACATTTCCCATCCTGGGCCCAGGACGGTGCCTGCTGACAGCAGGACCTGCAGCCTCGGCTGCTCAGCCAACCCCACCTTCCCTTGTCGTGTCCTGGTTTCCCCTTTGGGCTCAGGGCTTTGGTCACGTGCAGGGTTTGCTGGGTGACACACGGTCAGGAGCACCAGCCAACCCTGGCCCCAGCTCATCAGCCATGCTTGCTTCAAGGCAGTAAAAGACACTATTAAAAATATATATAATACAACAATCAAAGGAAGTTTATTTTCACAGAAGAGTATCTCTGGTGGTATTTTACTCATGGTTTTCATCTCATACCGTTTTGCTGCTTAAAATTCTTTGCGTTAACATCAGTGCAGTGGATGGGGAGTGAACCGATTTTGTTTGGGACCCACAGGATTAATCCTTTTCCAGGGGACACCCCTTAAACACCAAGCTGATGCGCTGCCCTGTTCCCATAGTCGTGCTGCTGTTTTGGTACCTTCCGAGCAATGCTGGGGGTGGAAGCCCTGCCCCTGAGGAGGTACATAGGGGTAAGAATGTGCAGAAGAGAAGCGAGCTGTAGCTTTGTGTGACAGGTTCCCATGACTCCTGGAAAGCCAGATGTATGGAGCAGAGGGCTGCATTCCTCTGCTGCTAGATACTCCAGCATCCCCACCCTCCAGCTGTTGCCCAGCCTGAGGAAGTCCCATCCCAGCCTTGCTGAAGCTACGCCCTATCCCAAGCAGCAGAGGAGCCTTAAATGAGCTACTTCACTGATGGCAGTCCCACAGCCCAAGCAGCCAGCTCTGAGTCGCCCCGTGTTTCACTTCCAGGGTGAAATTTGAGGGCTCCAATTTCTTATTGCAGCTCTCTTCCTCCCAATTCATCTGAGAAGGTGCCCTCGGTTTGCCCTTGCTCCTCAGTGTCTCAGATCTCACGCGTTTCCCTGGCAGTGAGATGCTGCTGATAATGTCCTGAGACATCCTTCAGTCTTGAGAAACTGGTGCAGCCCTCATTGAGTTACAGTCCCTCCTGTGATCTGGATTCTATTTACTCTGGAATGTGGCGGAGGGGTTGTCCCAGCTGCTTCTCACCAAGGGAAGAAATAACCATTCTCTGTCCCTTGTCAAGTGCCAGAGCTCTGAAGCAGGCTGTCATCTCCTGCATCTGCTGTCAGATGTCAGTGCCACCTACCTGGCAGGAACAAGAGGGATCAGGACTTGCTGCCTTTGGCTCATCTCTCTTTCTCACCTGTCTCCTGAGGAGGATGGGGCACTGGTCTGGATTGTTGGCTTATTTTACTTAAATACATAGGAGCCCAAATGTCTCCAGCAGGGTTTGCGTATCAGTTGGGTTGATAGAGATTATCAAATCAGAAAGAACCACCCTGCAACTCTGTCCCATGGGACAGCTGGGAACTTGTCCAAAACCAGAATGGACTTTCAGGGGTCAACCAGACAAAATCTGATCAGCTCACGGGGCTTTGAGTTCTTGGCTAAGCCAGCTCATTTCATTGTTTCTCTTGCAGCCATTAAAAATGAGAGATACATTTTTCTTTATGTGGATATTTGGTAGTTATCCCCTGGAATGACACAATCCTGGATGCTGCAGGAGAAGAGCCACTGTGTTGTTCAATGGTGCCGTGTGCCGTTTTTGCTCCAGGAGCTCTGTGGCGGAGCATCTCCTCTGGTGGTATTGCTGCTCTTTAAGGAAGGCAATAGACTGTATAGTTATCACCTGAAATGGGATAGAATCCCTCCCACCAAACTATACAACCTACTACCTCACCTCCACAGAGCAGTACAGAGGCCTGCTGTGATTCCCTGCTTTGTGGAGGAGCAGGATTCCTTGCACCACCTTTCTCCACGCTTTGTGTCGAAGCAGACGAGCTGAAGATCTGACTGTCTCCTTAGGAAAGACAGTAGATTGTATAGTTAGCTCAAAGGGAGGATAAGACTCCACAACTATTCAATCTACTACCTCAGCCTCAAGGACAGCTTGGGACCATTGCCATCCAGGGCAGTGAGATGATCCTCATCCAGGTACTGACTGCTCAGTGGTTCCTGTGAAGAGAAACGCATAAGAATTCATCAGACTTTGTGCTGCTGAAAGAAGCAAGTCTCACACTCAGCCTTGTCGTGGAGCTCCCTTTCCTCCTTATAGCTCCTTCAGTCCACTTGGACTATAAGATATCCTTGAAAATCTTGCTGGTTGCAAACTTTATGCACCCAAGAGCTCATGGAAGCAGCAGATTGAGCCCAGGACCATGCACACAGCAAGCACAGCCTGCCCGAAGCTGCAGCAGCACCAAATAATATACAGGCAAGCTGACCTCACCTCTTGAACACACAGCATATCTAGAACAAACCTGCCAGACTAGATAAAATAATCTATCAATTTAGCTGTTATGCACTCCAGGGAACTGAGCAGATTAGAAATAACTGAGTACAAGGAAGCTTTTAGGCCGTGCATGTAATGGTATTGAGTATATCAAGGCAGATCTCATTTCCCAAACAAATGAGAGCAACATGCAGGTCCTTTAATGCTATAGCACAGCCAGGCACTATTGGCGGGGAGCAGAGACAGGCTGGCTTCCCCCCAAGCCCTTGGCTCACCTTCTGAGCCTTTTTCATTCTCTGTACACCTAACTGCAGATGCAAGGTATTACGCTGGCAGTTTAGAAGATGTGTGTGGTTCTCTTGCAATGAGAAAGATTTTCCCTTCGAGATTAAAGGAGGATCTAAGGAAAAGGGAGTCACCAGTAGCACATGAAGGGGCTGCATGTGCAACGCAGCAAAGACCCAAAGGACTTCCCAAAAGAACTCAGTGCTGTGAAGCAGGAGGGGTCCCATCTGCCCACGGCTGGATGGGAGATGCATGGGCTAAGGCATACATCACCAAAGGGACAGAGGATGCCTAATGAATTGCGTTTCCACAGCTAACAGGCAGCAGAGTGCATGAGTGAGATACCCAAAGCTCTGGTCAGCTGTTGTAGCTGGGCTTCCCAAGGTGAGAGTTTAAGATGGGCAGGAAAAGGATATCTGTGCAGCGAGGCTTGGAAAGTGCCCACATTCCTTCGCCAAGCTCTCCAGAAATGCTTCTCAACTAACAGTCAGCACAGCCCAGTTAATTCTTTTAATTTCCTTTGACAAACTCAGCCTTGGGGTGACCCACT